GCGGCGGGGGGGACCGCGGCGACGGCGGCGGCAACGACGATGGCGAAGGCGACAGCTACAGCGACGGCGACGGCGACGGCGGCGGCGGGGGGCGACGGCGACGGCGGGGACGACGACGACGACGACGACGACGACGACGACGACGACGACGACAACGACGACTACGACGGCGGCGGCGACGACGGCGGCGACGACGGCGGAGGCGGTGGCGGCGACGACGACGACGACGACGAAAACGACGATGGCGGCGGCGGCGGGGTCGGCGGCGAAGGCGAAGGCGAAGGCGACGGCGACGGCGACTGCGACGGCGACGACGACGGCGACGGCGGCGGCCACGACGACGACGATGACGACGACGGAGGACGACGACGATAACGACGATGACGACCCACTTGGGTTTCGAGCAGAGGAGGTCTAGGCCTTCCAAGTGGTGTCCGAGTTGAGGAGGTCGAAGGCTCGCCCCGCGTCGCCGATGCATCGGCGATGCGGCTCGAAGTGGAGCCCGATGTTTCGCCACGCCGACGTCGCCGCTGCATCGTCGGCATCGCCGATGCACCGGCGATGCGGCGCGATCCTCAGACGCCCTCGCGTTGTGGAAAAAACACGACGGGAGGTTTTTCGCTATGTTCGGCCCCTGGGGGCCCTTGCCGGGCCCCGGGGCCGCCAAAAAACAGCTCAGGGTGAAAAGCCGGTCCCGTGGAAAGGGCCCAGACCTCTGGGGGTCGACGCTGCGAGAGGAGGAGGAGGAGGAGGAGGAGGAGGAGGAGGAGGAGGAGGAGGAGGAGGAGGAGGAGGAGGAGGAGGAGGAGGGGAAGAGAAGGGAGGAGGAGGAAGAGAAGGGAGGAGGAGGAGGAGGAGGAGGAGCAGCAGCAGGAGGCGGAGGAGGAGGCGGAGGAGGAGGAGGAGGAGGAGGAAGAGAATGAGGAGGAGAAGGAGGAGGAGGAGGAGGAGGAGGAGGAAGAGGAGGAGGAGAATGAGCAGGCGGAGGAGGTGAAAACATCATCACGACGTCGGGGGTCTTGGGTCCACCGGCCCCATCTGTTCGGACCCCGTGCGGGCGGCGTCCGCCGACGCCGCCGCTCGCCCCGGAGAGGCCTCGCCCCCGCGGCGCCAGGCTCTCCCCAGCCGCCGGCTCGGAGCGCTCCACGGGGGAGCGCCCCGGGCGAGGCCACGGGGGAGGCCCCGGGGAAGCGTCCCGGCTCGCCTAGAGCCCCACCAAGCCATGTTCTAAGAACCTTTTGTGGCTCCCAGGAAATGTTCTTGGAGCATTTCTGGTCGGGACTGTTTTGCTTTAACACATCGGGTTTATGTTCTACGAACATTGTTTTTGTTATTTGAACATGTTTGGGTTCTACGAACATTTCGTGGTATGACTAAAGGAATGCCGGGACGGTCGGTCACTGCTCAAAAGTCGGGCCTGTCCCTCTACAGGAGGAATACTTCAAAGTAGTCAAACAATAGTATGGTGACGATTTTTTGACGATTTGTTTTTGTTTGTTTTTGTATTTTTCTGGGGTATTTTCCATTCTTCGTCCAAAATCCGCCTGTAGGGTATTTCAAAGTAGCCAAGCGGTACAGCGAGCCAGACGGTCGGCTGGCCCTCGGTCGCTCGGCCTCTCGTCTGCCCCTTCCTGGCTGGTTTGGGCCATTTTTCGGTGGTCCGTCGGCTGCCCGTCGGTTGCTGTGGTCGCGCCTGGCCCTCGGCTGGCCCTCGGTCGTTCGGTCTTTCGTCTGCCCCTTCCTGGCTGGTTTTGGTGATTGTTCGGTTGTCCGTCGGTTGCTGCGGTCGCGCCTGGCCCTCGGCTGGCCCTCGGTCGCTCGGTGTCTCCTCTGCCCCTTCCTGGCTGGTTCTGGTAGTGACGATTGTTTGACGAGTTGTTTTTGTTCGTTTTTGTACATTTTTGGGGTACTTTTACTTTTTCGTCCAAGATCCGCCTGCAGGGGAACATGCCCGACCGAAGCCTGGGGAGCACAGCGGAGGCCCATAAAGCACCCCGCTTGCCTCCAGGGTGCCCCGGGTCTCTTGGTGTTCGGCGGCTTTGCGGCGGAAAGCGCGACGTCCCCACACCGACAACCCTGACTCCTCATCCGCCCTACTTTGGGCGATTTCGAAAGTAGGGCGGAAATTTCCGCCCTACTTTTGAGGCCCCTTTGAGCGTCGATTTCCGCCCTTGAGGCTCCTTTGGCGTCGATTTCCGACACAATTTTAGGTCGGAAAATCATCCAAAGTACGGCGGATCAGGAGCCAGGGAATCCATGGACGCCCTGGGGTCTCCGGGTTGGGCCTTCTGTGGAAGGCTTTTCTTGCGGGCTGGCCTCCACTGTAGCGGCATCGGTCCGCCCTCGTGGCGCCCGCCTCGCGAGGCTGTGCGTAACCCTGACTTCGGATCCGCCGTACTTTGGTTGACTTTCCGACTTGGAATTGTGCCGTAAATGCACCCCAGACGATGCGAAAAAGTGTGGCGGAAATGTCGACCTCCGGAGGAGATAGCGCGGATACTTCCGCAGAGGCGTGGCGAAAACAGCGACGGCAAAGTGGGGCGGAAATCGGCATGCAAGGAGCTCAACAAGCAGGGCGGAAATCCGTAAGGGCTTCGCCCCCTGCCGCCGGCCCCCTCTCTCGGAGAATGGGCCATGGAAGAGCTAAGTCATGAGGCCTTGGCGCTGTCGTGAAGCAGTATCGAAACTTCATGCGAAGCCGATTCGCAATCAGCAAAACCAACTGATCACAAGAGGGGTTACCACACCTGGCGATTGGTAAGACGTGTATGGTTTACGCCCGTGGTTACCACACCTTGCGATTAAAGGGCCGAGGGAGTTCTCGCAGTTTGGGTTACCACGCCTTGCGATAGATGTGCGTGAAGGGTGGCACCGAATTTCAGAAATGTGCCAAATCCCCTGTGTTTTTGGACCCTGACCCCGCGGATCTGCGTAAGGGGTGGCGCCGAATTTCAGAAATGTGGCAAATCTCATGTGTTTTTGGACCCTGACCCCGCGGATCTGCGTGAGGGGTGGCACCGAATTCAGAAATTTGACAAATCTCATGTGTTTTTGGACCCTGACCCCGCGGATCTGCGTGAGGGGTGGCACCGAATTTCAGAAATGTGGCAAATCCCATCTGTTTCTGGACCCTGACCCCGCGGATCTGCGTGAGGGGTGTCGATTTCGAGCCCCCCCAGCAATTCAGACAACGCGCCCAGGAGACGCTAAAAATCCCGTTTGGGCCTCCCCCCCCCTTCGCGCGGTCAATCAACTAGTCACAGTAACCAGCAAGAAGCAGAACTGTAACACTGGAAACTACAAACTACGACTGGTACAGGAAACTGCGAATCACGGGCCTGCAGCCTGGTGGCCCCACAAGGGGGCCTGCGGATTTCCGCCCTACACCTTAGGCGATGCTTAAGAAAACTTAAGTTTTCGGCCAGAGTCTCGAGTATTCTTAACGTTTCAATGTAAATCTTAAGATTTTGATGGAAATGTTCGGTTTTTTATTCAAGTTCTGAGACTATGAATTTCTTAACCCATGATTTCTTAAGCATTTCGCAGGGTGTACTTGCGAAACCCACCAAAGTGCGGCGGATCCGAAGTCGGGGCTCCCCCCCCCTTCGGTTGTCGCGTCGCGCCCCAGGCATCCCCAGACCCCCCTCGCGCTGCGACAAAAGAGGCGCGACGGGACGCTTTTTTCCCTGCTGTCGGCCCCCGGGGGCCCCCACCGGGCCTCGGGGCCAGCAAAAAAACGACTCAGGACGACAGGCTGGTCCCAGGGAAGGGGTCCAAGTTCGGGCTGGGCTGAGGGGGATACTCCAGATTTCGTGATAAAAGGGAGGGGGTCTCAACCCTCCCAGACGAGAAGTGTTAGACCCCCCCAGGCCCTCCAAGATAGCTTGGAAGAGACCCCCCCCGAAATGAGACCCCCCTCCCTTTATTACGAAATCTGGAGTCGCAAGGGGGAGGGGGGCGGAGGCCGCACTGCCAGTGTGGGACCCCCGACGTAATGAATTTTTCATTACGTCGACCCCAGAGTTCTCGACCCCTTCCCCAGGACCGGTTTGCCATCCTGAGTCGTTTTTTGACGCTCCCGAGGCCCGGTGAGGGCCCCCAGAGGCCGAACATTGCGAAACACCTCCCGCCATGATTTTTTCATTACTCGAGGGGGTCTGGGTGACAGGCTGGTCCCGGGGAAGGGGTCCAGATTCGGGCTGGGCTAAGGGGGATAGCAAGGGGGTGGGGGGGCCGGAGGCCGCACTGCCGGTGTGGGGCCCCCCGCGATCGTGCGCCCGCGCGGCGCCCGCGCCGCGTTCTCCCCGCGGTCTCTCTCGGCCTCCGGGGGGCCCGCTTGCGGGCCCCCCGGGGCACGGGTTGAAGTCGGGCCCGTCTGTCCCCCTCCAGGGGGAATTTTCGACGAAAAAGTCCCCCTCCAGGGGGAGTTTTCGACGAAAAATTAGAAGACACCCCCAGAAGAGTCCCAAAAACCAGTCTGGGGACTCTTCTTGGGAGTACGTCTTGACTTTTGGGGGGCATTTCTGGGGGGCATTTCTGGGGCCTGTCTGTCCCCCTCCAGGGGAGTTTTCGACGAAAACTTAAGAACACCCCCAGAATAGTCCCAAAAACCAGTCGGGGGACTCTTCTTGGGAGTACGTCTTGACTTTTTGGGGGCAGTTCTTGGGCATTCTTTTATCTTTCGTCGAAAGTCCCCCTGTAGGGGGACACGCCCGACTTCACCCCAGGGCACGGGTTGAAATCGGGCCCGTCCCCCATACGGGAGGCAGGTTCAAAGATAGTCCAAGAACCGTATGGGCACGATGTCTCAAGTATTTGTTTTGAACATGTTTGTGCACCGTTTGCAGATGCTAGATGTTTCGTGCAAGATCCCCCTGTAGGAGGACATGCCCGACCTGAGCACGGGCCCAGCAGGGCAGGAGGGTCCCCAGGGAGGGTCGAGGGCTCGGGGGGCCCCGTACCGAACAAGCAGCCGCGTCGGCGTGGGATGTCCGGGGCGAGGACTCCTATCGCTGGAAGAGCTGGACATGGCCCTGATCGAGAAGACGGGGGCGGAGAAGGAGATCGCCACCCACCAAACCACCCCAACCCAACCCGAAGGCTCAGATTCACCCCCGATTTCCAGTGGTGGGGGGTCGGGGAACATCGAAAACACACGTGTGGAACCCTTACCCCCCCAACCCACGAGATTCGGGTCTTCGGGTTGGGTTGGGGTGGTCTGGTAGGTAGTCAGGAGAGAAGGTATTGCCAGAAGATCAGGCCACTGATCCGGGACCAGCACTTGCTGCTGGTGACGCTGCTGCTGTGCAACGCGGTCGCCATGGAGGCGCTGCCGCTGGTGCTGGATCAGCTCGTGTCTCCCGTCCAGGCCGTCATCATCTCCGTCACGGCCGTGCTCGCCTTCGGCGAGATCATCCCTCAGGCCGTGTGCAAGACGTACGGCCTGGCCGTGGGAGCGGCCACGGCGCCGCTGGTGCGGGCGCTGATGTTCGTGTGCAAGCCCATCTCGTGGCCCGTCGGGAAGCTCCTCGACTGCATGCTGGGCCACCACAGCGGGACCGTCTACAAGCGGGGCGAGATCAAGGCCATCGTGGACATCCACCGCGAGAAGGGGGAGATCACGTGCGAGGAGGAGGCCGTCATCGACGGGGCCATCGACTTCACGTCCAAGCAGGCTGGCCAGTGCATGACAGCCCTCGCCCATGTGAAGACCTTGGGCAAGAGCCAGATCCTGAACGCCGATGTGGTCAATCAGATCCTTTCGTGGGGGCATTCGCGCATACCCGTCGTCGACGACGACGGCGAGTCGTTTATCGGGGTGCTTCTCGTAAAGGAATTGATAAAGCCTGGCGCCATCCCAGACTCCGGCGGCATGGTGTGCGGCATGAACCTGCGGCCTTTGGTGCACATCACAGAGTCCATGCACCTGTATTCGCTCCTGAGCATCTTTAAGATGGGGCGCTCGCACATGGCTCTGGTTTATACGGGGACGCCTCCGGCGAGTCACCGCCGCAGCCGAGGGGCTCGAACTTTTTTCCCTACCTAGGCTCTGCCTAGAAGGGTTCTTACCGTCTGTGCTTAAAGGGGCCGGGCAGTGGATATCGCCCCGGGCGGTTCCCCCGGCATCCGCCCCGCGGTTCCCCCAGTTACGTCCCCTTA